CCCCCCCCCCCCCCCCCCCCCCCCCCGGAACACAGAGGACGACTCCCAGGGAACAGGCCACACCAGGGCCTGGACTTTGTACTGGGAGAAGCGGACTTAGGATGCAGGTGAGGGAGACAGGCTGCAGAACGCTGCGGCAGATGTGCATTTTAGACCTGCTGGGCCACAAGGCCCTTCTGGCCTCCTTCCTCGAGATGAACTGGAAGGTTCACACTGACCTTGAGTCACTGGGAGGATTTGACCACTAGACCCGTAGGTGCTCAGGAATAGGTGACTGTCATTTTCAGGGACCCCAGTTACCAGCAAATCCTTCTGACCATCCCCCATAGTCAGAAACTCCAGGGAGGCAATTTCAGTCCTCAGGATCACAGGGCAGCCAGGGGGACCAGATGAAATGTCATGACTCAAGGTTTCTGCATAGACATTCGTCTTCCCCAGCACTTCTGAGACAGTGACCCAAGCAAGGACAGGGATGCTTCTAGAAATATCCATTCCTGTGCAAGCTGCATGCTGACCACTCCCGACAGTGTGCAAAGTTCTGGAAGGAACCTTCTAGAGAGGCCTTCGGCCCATTGGCCTGGGCTCCTGGCAAGGCTGCCAGCTGAGAGGGAAATTTGCCCAAGAGGACTTAGATGAGGTCATGGGTGCTGACTCCAGAGGCTGTGGAAGGACCCCAGGATTTTATAGCTAGCCAGGCCCTTTTGTCAGGGACAGACCCAGATGCCAAGTCACTGCCCTGTGGCTTCCTGGTCACTCTGTGGGGACCCAGGGCATTCTTTTAGGAGACTGCCTGCCAATGCACAGACCAGGGTGCTGTGGGGGGAAGACAGAGACCTCGGTGTTGGGGGAACCTTGGGTTGGTTGGAGCAAGACCACAGAATGCCCAGGGCTGATGGCACCAGCCTGCCAGGTGCTCTCCATGGGCACCAGGACAGGTGATTCCCCTTCACAGGCTCACAGTGCCCTCGGTGGAAACACAGGCACAAGGATTCTGCACACAGGCCAGGATGGGCATGCCGAGCTGACTCTCCCGGCTGGACCAGTGGCTTATGATAGACTTGGACCCCAGTTTGTTTTGGGGGGAGAGCCGAAACAGGTGGAGCCGTGTCAATCTGGGAGATGGGCCTGCAGCACTGTGGGCTGGTGCTGGGCACTGCCCTGGCCAGCCAAGTTCTCCAGCCATGGGGGGCTCTCTCAGAAAAGAGCCTTGAAGCCTGAGGGGAGGCTCTGGTGCCACCTCGACCCCCCAAAGAGGCTCCAAGGCTAACACCCCACCTGGAAGCCCTCGAGCCCCCTCTCTGCTTCCTGGTGACCATGGCCTGACATTTGGCTGCCCTGACTGACTCCTGGGGGTAGGGGTGTTACTTCAGTCCATGGGAAGTGGCTGGAGGCTGTGTGGACAGAGGCCCCTACTAAGGGAGCCCCAGGGCTGCTCTTTAGTGGATGTGCTGCCGGCAACCCTTGTTTCTAAGTGGGGTCCTGAGAGGAGAGAGGCCCTGGCCCGACCCTGCGCTGGGCTCTTACTTCGTGTTGCCTGTCAAAGTGAAGGGCTGGCCCGAGGCTCACTTGGGAGAGTGATGACGGCAAGTCAAGGGTTAAGATCCCCTTACCGGTCATCTTTAGTGAAACCCAGCGCCCTTGCCCCGTCCTGGAGCAGCCCTGACCTCCCTGACTGAAAGGCCCTACCCAGACTGGGGCTCCTTGGGAGCGCCGCCAAACCCTCCCCAAGCCGACCTCCCTCTGCTCGGCAGCTCAGGCTCCATCCAAGCCCCGGGGAAGGAGGGCGCAGGGGACAGACACAGGGCGCCCTCGCAGCCAGAAGCCACCAGGCAGTCCCAGAGCCACCCGTCAGCCATTGCCGGCCCGAACCCCTCCCCCCGCCCCGTCCTTCCCCCAGACCCGCAGGGAAGCACCTTTTTGTGTCTCAGAGGGCACCGCATCAAATAGACGGGGTCACGTTTTCAAATACGCTCTTTCCAATTTCGAGAGAATCAAGTTTTCTACACTACTTATTTTCCAACTTCCTCTGTCCCAAAAGAAAAGGGCATTTTCGCCGTCCTCGTAGAATTTTGCTTTAAGCCAAAGCGCTACCGCAGGAGGCAAGGTCAAGGCCGCCCTCTGCAGCCACCCGCCGTGCGGAGGGCGCGTCTACGCGGCTGGTATCCGCGCCCGAGGCCGGGGGAGGGCGGGCGTCTTACCGGCGGGCGGGCGGCCGGCTCCGCGCGGGTCTCCGCGGGGCCCG